TTTGGTGTGTGAAGAGCAGTGTCGTCATTTTGATCGAGCACAGAAAGATGGGGACGAAGTGCAAGCTGGCAGCTGAGTCATCCCCATTTCGACAGGTGTTGGCTGGCGACTGGGAAATCACTTCAATATGGGAGGGCGCGTCTCCGCATTATCCGGGAAGTGATGGTGTGGCAGGGCACGCTGGTAGCGGAGCTGGCATTTGATTTACAAATGTCGGCTGGCGACTGGCGGAAGAGTCACTTCAGCATGGGAGAGAACGTCTCTGCATTATCCGGGAAGTGATGGTGGAGGGGCAGAGCGCAGGTGGCGTGACAAGTCATAGAGACTATCGAGCTAAGGTCATGATGAGATCTGACTAGTGTGGCGGTGCCGACACATAGTCAGAAGAAGAGACCCGAGGCGGTATTATCCTTCAGATCAATTGAGGAATACCACCCTTTCGAGTGGTCCATGCAAAGCGTCGGATTGACGGTCGAGTGGGCTCTTAGTGAGTCGTATTCGAGAGGAAGTCGACTGACCCCGCTTCTCGAGTCGACATGGATAGCATAGATTCGACAAGTCGGCGGAATAGGTACTTCTGCTGGTCTTAGGTTGTCAAGTTAAGCCGTTCTTTCAAAAATGTGTCCATCCGTCCTCAGTCTATGCTTTGCATATGTTTAACAAATGGGAACACCGTAACAATAGACAAATTCTTATACTTTTTATCATCTGAAACAGTCATAATGCATTTCGAGGGATCTAAATTGTTGCTTGTTACTTTATAGCTCATGAGTTTTTTCCCCCTCTCAATGAAGTTTACTTCCATCCACCAAACAATATATTTAATAAATATCCAAGACTTTAAACTTTTGGGCTTCGATTTTTAAGTGCGAAGCAGAAAAATCCGCATTTTTGAATTCATACTATAGGCTGTACATCCACATACTTCAGGTGTATAGCTGCTTATTCGATCCTATTGTATACAACTATGCACTTTATATTCTATATGTGTGCGTGTAGAATATAAAGTGTATAGTTGTATACAATATAGGCTTTGAAGGTTTTAAAAAAACTTTGTATTTTGGGTTTAGTGGAACATACAGAACTAGATGGTCTTGTAGTAAATGGCAGTGAAACTTTGGGTTTATAAGAGAAAGCCCTAGGAT